CGTGAATTAGTTACTTTATATGATGGTATTCGTGACTGTATATATATTATACCCAAATTATTTACATAACTATATATTTCAATTGTTTAGATATACCGATACTTAATTTATTCATTCGATTACATTTTTGTATTTGCAGCTTTAAGCTAAGCTTTTTATGTAATCATTGATATCTTTTATATTATCTATCGCACTACCTTCCAAGGGCTACATATTTGACACCAAGCGGAAGATGTGTTATATCAGTTGCAATATGTACATTATCTATTCCAATTAATTATTTTAGAACCAAATGTACCAAATACCAACATACAGTCTACCCTCGTTATAACGTAGCGAATGAATATTCGCTATAGTGTTGTATAGTACAGTATATAGTATCATAATAAAAATTTTAAACTATTCTAGAGAATTACTCGGTATCCGTTATAACGGAATCTGTTATAACGAAGGTTAGACTGTATCGTTATAGTTGTGGTTTGAAGTCATTTATAGACACTTTACCCTCAAATTGACTAATTGACTATATAATTTCATATGATTTCTAAAATATATGCGTACATTTGTTGCTTAAATAATCTATATACATAAATTTCCTTTATAATGTTTTTGGAATCTATATACTTAATTTAATAATTAAAGTATATTTTTAGAATTCTGTTATGTTATATAACCTGTTTATTTGTATAAAAACATGGCATTTCTCATCAATGACAATCACATTAAACTAGCCATTTAAAAAAAAATTAAAAATTATTACAGTACGTATACAATTTTTATAAAAAAGATTAATGATTTGTTACATTTAACGGTATTTTATGATTATTGAATGTTAACAATACTATCGTTATTAACAAAGGAATTTAAGACATGTTGCGACCAATGAAAAGTTGTGTTTAAAAATGATAATACGTACAATAATAAAATATACATATGATTTGATAGATAACAGATAATAGTATCGATATCCATAAAAATTATACGCTAATATGATCATCGCACGATCAACCTGACCACAGTAGGATAAAATTTATTATTTGGGGCGAACACAGTACTTGACATAAAGTAACATAAAGTATCAATCTTGATGGATCTGCAATATAAATTTATAATTTGATTTAATTGATTTGACCATATCAATAATAATACTTTGGTACAAATGACTAATCATTTTTTTTGGGGGAGTTTGTTTTGTATATATCTCCATTTTCGGCGATTACTGGTTTACGTTTGGCGTGTGTATCATGTGTGGTATGATTGTTTTGGAAAAAAAATCGATCATTTAGTTAAAAAAAAATGTTAAAAATGTCTATTGTTTTTTTTTTTTTTTTTTTACCCCATTATTTTTCCTTATTGCCGGATTGTTTCATGAAACCTATAAAAATAACAAAGAAATAGCCGTCTCATGCACATGTAGAATTTTTTTTTCCTTATTGTACAATAAGTTTGTTTGTCATGTCTCCTCGAGCAAGCTCAAACCTGGATTATGATGGTTATTGTCTTTTAGTCATGATCTTTATTATTATTTAAAACTTTCGTAAATTAATCATGAAAACTTGTCAATTCAATTAAAATTTTAAAATTTCAGGAATTAAAATATTTCGCAGGTCTGAAGTAACGGAATCAAGACAGGTTATCAAAAGAAGTATCAACGGCACAATATACTCTAAAGACCAACCATGGTATATAATCATTGATAATAAAGTCTATGATATTAAAGATTTTGCACCTAATCATCCTGGTGGTGCTCCGATTTTGACGCATATTGGAAAGGATGCAACCGGTAATCACGTGATCATGTCACGTCATAGTACGTATTTACAATAATTATTAACGTTCATATATATTTTTCCAGACGTATTTTATTCTTTCCATCCGGAAAGTGCTCATGATTTATTGGCAAATTATTATGTCGGTGATATAGCCCCTGAAGATATAATTTTACCAAAAGGCAGGTCTTGTACATTAATCATAGGAGTTAATAAATTTGTAACCACGGTTGTAACCGTAACTATGATCGGGTGTAACGTGGAATCAAAACAAAAACTTTTCTTTTAAAGAATCATTAATAACTCAAAATTTTGAATATAAAACCATCTTTTACGTTTTAACAAAAAAAATTCCTTGCCTTCCCTAACCCAAGCCTTACCCTAACTCTAACTTTGACCGAGTTTTTATTTTTATAAAAAAAATTTGGTTTGATAGTCATATTACACCTGATCTTAGTTATGGTTACAGTAACCTATGATTACAAATTCATTAATTCTAATTATAGACATGTACAGATATTTGGCGTTAACTTCAAATTATTACAGGATTTACAAAGAGGATTAGAGAACTTAAAGTGAAATTTACGAAGCTCGGTTATTTTAAATCCTCCAAAGTTTATTACATCTATAAAAGCTTTTACAATATCATTCTTTGGTCTATATCGGTCATGATCTTGGCTGCCTTTGGTAATTCGTTACTTGGTGTTCTCTCTGCTGCCGCAGTAATGGCTTTGTTTTGGCAACAGTGTGGTTGGCTATCACATGACTTTTTACATCATCAAGTATTTGAAAAAAGATGCTATAATGATTGGCTTGGATGTTTCTTTGGTGCTCTTTGTCAAGGTTTTGGCCCTTGTTGGTATGATTCATTTCAATATTAATCTTTTTTAAAATTTACTTTTTTCTTATTTATTTGTTTTTTTTTTGGCTATGTGTTTATAGGTGGAAAAACAAACATAATACTCATCATTCTGCTCCAAATGTTCATGGTCAAGATCCTGACATCGATACTCACCCTCTTCTAAGTTGGTCTGAACACGCATTAACAGACCTGTTTGATTCTGAATTAGCTAGAGAACATGCAAAAGCCTATCCTAAATGGTTTGCTCGTCTCATGGTCAACAACCAAGCTATAAATTACTTTCCACTCCTTGCTTTTGCTAGATTATCTTGGTGTGCTCAAAGTATTCAATATATTCTTCCAAATGGTCAAAGTGGAAGTATCGGTGATACTCGTATGCCTGTGTCTTTACTTGAGCAGATCTGTTTGTCATTGCATTATGTTTGGTTTTGTTATATTTTTTCTTTTATCGGTAGTTGGATTTTGGTTTTTGTCTTTGTCATTTCAGCACAAGCTATGTGTGGATTGTTATTGGCTTTGTGTTTTTCATTGAATCATAATGGGATGAAAGTATTGACTGACGAAGAAACAATGAATACTGAATTCTATGTTGAACAAGTTATTACTGGAAGAGCTGTTACTGCGAATAGTCTAATGGGTCGTTGGTTTGTAGAATGGTTTATGGGTGGATTAAATTATCAAATTGAACATCATGTAAGTACATGTACTTATTTTTTTCAAAGGACATTACGTGTAAAGGCGTAGGTCAGATTTTTGTGTCTGCAAATTATGGAATTTGAATGGTTGATAGAAACAGTCGTTAATTCGTTTTGCAAGAATCATCTGTCTTGATTATTCAACTTGATTGGCCAATCAAATTCCTTGGGATTTCATTTGCCTAGTTCATACCTATATTTTTTTTTAACTTTCAATCTTTCTCAATTGACATTAGATATTTCCAACTATGGCGCGTCATCATTATCATAAAATTTCACCAATCATTCAATCTTTATGTGCAGAATATAAAATACCTTATCACCAAACTACATTCATGAAAGGTACAATGGAAGTTTTTAATAGATTAAATCAAGTTTCATATGCAAATAAAAAATTAAATTAAAGAGTTCT